ACAGTTGCTATTTCCCAGGGACTGAGTGCTTCTCTCCTCCTCTCCTAACAAGTTGCATTGAACTCTAATGATTTCCATCGGCAGAAATAACCCTGGTCTTGCCCAGACTTTTAAATCATCCCTGATCCTAACCATTTCCACTGTTTTCCACATGATCCACAGTAAGCAGAGACCCCCAGTAACTGTGCATCATCATGTGCTGCAGCACCTTGGCAGCATGAGAAGCCAGAGTTACCTTTCTGTCTTTGCAACCAGGCTGGCAAGAGCCACGTTCTCCCCCATTAAAGCTCCAAACAGTAGCCCAAGGGGTGTTCATTGCAGGAGTTTGGTTTCAGACATGAGTTTGAGCTGACAGTCTGTGCTCATCTCCCACGTGAAATGAGAGAGAGAGTTGCTGGATTTAGTCTGGATGACTTTGCCCATCAATGGCTAACACTGCCTGCAGGTCCCGAGGTTTAATTGCCTCCAGGAGCAGGACGGCACATGCCGGCAGATGTCTGTGGAACACATTTCTGGCTGTGTTGCAAAAAATTCCATGCACGTGGAAGTCGGGGCCCTCAGTGTGGCAGCAAGAGATGAAACCCTTCCAGCCAACTAATCACCACATCCAGCCTCAGGCTGGAAAGCTGAAGGGGACGGTCCTTCCATCTGTGCTCCAGTCCCAAGACAACAGCCATGGAGGGCCTCTGCAGGAAGCGCTGTTCCAGTAACTCACACACTACTAAGTGACTGCTACGTCTTTCTATCTTTTCCAGTGTTTTTCTGGCACAGTTGGGAAGGATTAAGAGTGCTGGGAAGGAGGGTGCAGCAGAAAGATAATTTATGAGCGTATTTGCAGTGTGAGGAGAGCTCCAACTCTAATCTCTTTACAAATCTTTGCCTTTGGAGATGTGGCAGCAGCAGACACTGAATGGGACAAATATCTAGATTTCTTCCCTTGTTTGCTGTTGCACTCTGTTTTAGACTGTACATTGTTTGGAACAACAGGATACTCTCAAAGGTGTTTTGTGTGTTTGTGTGTACATGTATATCTCTCAGCAAGCCATAGACAAAACCAGAATGCAAACAATCCCACTCCAGCCTTCTTTGCTCTATAGAAGCCCAGGGTTGACACTGGCTTCCCCACGCTCTCAGCCTCTTATCTGTCATCAACACCTGTGACTGACAGGCTGAAGAATTTACCCAGTGTGAGTGAGGCAGATGATATTTGCCAGCTAGAGATCAATTGAAAACACACCACTTTTTTCTAGCAGAATCCAGGGCAGTGACCAGCACTCATCCTCCTTACCACTGCAAAGGATGTACCAGTCATACGATGCCTCAGTTCTGTGTGATCCTAGACACAGGAACAGAGATTTGCTTCCACCTGGCTCTGCTTTTTCTCTAACAATGAAAGGAAAGGATGTTTCACCTGGGGGAGAGCATGTCCTGGCAACAGGGGGGAGGTAGAAGACGACAACATTGGCAGACTATGGAGAAAACAAAGTTCAGCCTGTCTCCTCTATGCACATCAACAGACACAGCTTGGGAAGCTCTCCATGCTTTCAAACGCAGAGTAAAACCGCTTTCCAGCCTCCCTGGGCATCACCTTTGTGAGCACAAGAGGACATGACTAATCACAGCCGCTATGGCCATGCACCGTACTTGAGTGGACATCCAAACTCAACATAAATGAAAATGGCTTATAAACCTCAGCAAGGACTGCCAGGCTGAAAAATAATAATCATATTCAAAGCAGAAAGCCCAAACTCGAGTGATATCCTTTATCTGCCCCAAAAAATCAAACCACCCTCCTCCACCCAGTTCTCTTGATGCACAGATCAGGCTGCACCAAACCCATCTTCCTTTCTCCTCTTACTGTTTTCAGTTTGCTCCCAGTCACCTACACATTCTAATTTTAAGTGTATATAAGAGACTGAAATCAGTACGGGAGTGGGCAACATCCCCTGCAGGTGACCAGGCAGAGCCACGCGTGGTCTCCCCAGTTCGCACAACACCAAACAGGAGTGGGGTGGGAGAAGCAGTTTGTGCTTAACCACTTCCTAATTGCTTTAATGGTTTCAAGATTTCAAAGTTTGCTGCTGTGGTTCTCCTGAAGCCTGGACAGGGGAAGGTTTCTTTCCAAAACTGGTCACCAGTGCATCCAAAACATTTCAAGAGGAAAGAAAAGGGGGCTTTGAAACTGAGGCAGCTAACTGCTATACAAAATAAATCATCAAGACTGTGCCTAAACAATGAAAACCAGCTAAGGTATTTAACAGTTAAGGATATAGTCCAGCACCAGCAAAGCACGGGAACAAGTACTGCTTTTAAGCAGGTGCTGACCCCGAGCCTGTGAGCCATCCCAGTTAATTAGTAAGGTAAAGAACACACTTAAAAGGGAATATATTCCCGTTGCTTCACTGAGATTCTACTGCCCACGACATCAACTCAGTGCTGTCGGATCATGGACAGACGCATCTGTCATCGCAAAAACTTCAGCTGCAACCAAAGTAAGTTTTTGAAAACTTGATTCCTATGTCTTATCTTGATTTCAGAATCAAACCACTTTCTTTTAAAGGAAATTATTAAACTTTAAAAATCATGTAGGGACATCACAAGTCACTATCTTTTTAAAATATTTCTCATACTGTTTTCCAAGGACAATTTTGTTAATATAGCTAAGCCAAAAAACCCCCACATAACCCCACAATTTTCCTTATCGCAATATTGCAGTTGTATCTGAATGAAGATTCATGTTTTAAGCCAAGAATTCACATGCTAAGCACGCACCTTTAAGAAAACATGTTCTGTTTGTTACAGTGGTACTAATCGAGGTGAAATTAAGCTGTATTCAGTGTAAAGTATACACTTACACACACACACATATATTTATATGAAAAGAGGTGAGACCATCATTTCTATTTTTCTTTTTCATGAAACATTTTCTTCTTGTATTTTGTGTTTACTGACTCCTACATGGGCCACAATCTACCTCCACATCACACGTTAAACAGGATTTTGTTAGGCTGTGGAAAGGCACGGGGAAATACTCATCCTGCAAAATCTCCCCAGAAACATAAATGGCTCTTTCAAATGAAAAAGCTGCTTTCCTGTTTTAATTGAAGGTTTTGGAAGCAATGAGTGAGATTTAACCTGAAGAACATGAAAGCACGAAACTCCTTCGGTGGCTCCATGAAAGAGATCTAAATCAGCATAGGAAGGGATTTATCTGCTGTTTGTCTTTGACCCCTTATATCTGAGTATATCACAGTCCTGCCTGAATTTGTCTGCGAAGCAGCCGCCTGTGGTACAGCAGTGCTGCACTCCTGTCTTCCGAAGGAGGCACGCACAAATTAAAGATGAAAGTGTTTTTTTCAGAAGTTTCCCAATACCTAAGCATGCAGCAGGTGAACTGTGCAGTTCTCGGGAGCACTTTGATGCCCCACTAAACACAGCCTTTTTCATCTGCCTGTGAAAACCCACCTGAAATCTAAACAGCTCTGAAAATCCAGGCTAAAGCAATTTGCTGAAGGTCACCTAAGAAGGTTTGAGAGTTGGAAATGGAGAAAAATGGAGAACTGAGCACAACTCTCCATGTCCCAAGCAAAAAAGCTTAACCACTTGGCTATCGTTCTCTTCTCTACATTGGGATAGATACTTTACAAACAAATTACAGCCCAACACAGCCAGGAGCTGGTAAAACAAGCAGAGAAACCTGCTTCCAGCATCACTTCTAGAAATAGCTTTGCATTCTGACTTAGCTGCCACCAGCCCCACCAGCAGAAGCAGCTTCAACAAGACAGACTGAGCCCAACCTCCATCCCTGAATACGTGCAGACCGGGCAGGACACTCTCCTGGACATACAGGTGGAGTCTCTGGGCAAGAGAGTGGCTGGAACACAATATCTCTGCTGCTCCTGGGAGGAAGGGCAGCACTGCAGCCTTTCTTTCAGTACTGCTACAAGACCAGGCTGCATGGTCACAAGGAAGGGGCCGTGCGTGTCAGTGAGTTTTGCCAGGTCTCAGGCAGGAGCCACATGCTGAGCACACATCCCCCACCTGAAACGGGGCAAGGCAGGCACGCTACACACCAAGAGCTGCAGTGGAAGCAATGTGGGAGTGCACTGCCTGAGTCGGTACCCACAGAAGTCTGTACCTCTACCTGCATCTTCCCTGCAGGTCTAGCGAGTCAGATGTTTCAAAAACATGAAAACAATGGGGCTCTCCACCGAGATAATGTTAATGGTGTCTTCACGTGCTAGAGGGTAAGCTTGAGTCAGCAGACCCAGCTGCTAGAACCAGCTCCAACCCCACAGCCTGCCAGGGCAGAGCTCAATCAACAGGACAGTCTCCTGCAACCCTGTTTCCCCTGCTAGGAGGAGGAACTGGCTTGCTCCGAGCTACCAGCCCGTGTAGAAGCCAAAACACAAAGTGTTAAGGGCAACTGCAGCACTGGATGTGAGCTGGGGCTCCTGCTAACAGGACAGTGTGAACAGAAACCATTATCTCTCAGTCTCTTATCTGTGAAGCAGTGACAAGGGCATTGCCCCCGCAGAGGACTAGGAGGCTGCATATTTTGAAGATACAACAGACAGCGATGCATACCGATGGGCTGATAACAGGGACATGCACTGTTTTTTTAGAGCTTTTCACTATTAACTTTTTATCATTTCAAAACCTGCACAGCTACTGGCATATTCCTGCATTTGTTTTTACAATACAATTTTTGAGTCATAGAGTTTTGGCCCATCAGTACTTAATCACACATTTAAGTAACAAAAAGGAGATGAGAGCTGTGAAGAGAGTACAGCCAGTCTCTTCAAATATGAGCAGTGCCTACCCTGATGTAAGAAAGCAGCCAATGCAAAATCATTCTCATTACTGAAACTTGCTGCAGTGCAGGAAATGTATTCCAAAAAAATTAGAGGATGTAACGTACTGTGCGCACATGGTTCGCATCTCAGCAGCACCTGATACCTCCCATTCATGCCATCAGAGTTGCATCTGCTGACACTCACCAGCCGATTTGCAAGAGCAATGGTACACGCTGTAGCTTCAGCTTCTTGCTGACATTTGAGTTTGTCTGAAGTGGCCTTCTCAAACTTGGCTGTGAGCTTTCCCAGGTTCTCGTTGAGGCGCTGCACATGAAAAAAAAAAAAAAAAAGAAGATAACAGCACAGTTTTAAGGAAAACACTTCTTGAGAGATGATTCGCACTGCAGCAGGGCTGGCCAAGCTGCACCACAACTCACGCTGCCCAGGCTGGCACCCAGCGTGCAGCCCCTACACAGTGTTGTGGCATCAGGAGCCAGTGCGGAGCAGCCATGTGCTGTGCTATTTTACATGCTTGTAACTCACCTCCTTGGCACAGGGCAGAAGCAAAGAACACACAAAACTGATCTATTTTGGGCACTGCCCTGGTGTCAATTTAAAATGGGAAAGGGGGTCCTTATGGCCAAGTACCAACGATGGCTGAGCAATGAGGAGGACAGTTAAGAAAACAAACTTTTGTATTTCCTGATGCTGCAGCCCCCTTGGTCTCAGTCCAGTCCTTGAGGTCCTACTGATTCACCAAATTGTGCTCAAAACCCCAAGGGGCTCCCTGAGCAGCTGGAAGTATGCTTGCACCATCTTCAAGCTATACCTCCTGCACCTTCTTTCTAGAAGGGAATATGACATATAAGTCAATAAAGTTGTTCTGCTCCTAAAGCTGCCAGAGCGTGTACCTTGGGACACTCCTACACAGTGCTTGGTGGGACCACCTCACATGCAGGTTGGCTGCAAAGTGTTTTGTGGCTGGGAAGGAGCAGAAAGACCCCAAACCACCTGGAGAAAAAGATCCCTTTGCTTGGACAGAGCTGCTCAAACTGGTCTAAAACAAATCAACGACTCCCACGAGCACTTGGAGCATTTCACTTCTGATAAGAGAAGTAGACGTAATAATTGATTTTATCTGCACCCAATGCAAACTGCTTAAGGCTAAACTGCTTGTAAATCACTTTAACACTGTTTGAGCTACACACTAGAAACTAACCTCAAAATGAAAAACCGTTATATTAGGGATATCTGCAGCTCTCCAGGATACTGGAAAACATGAAGCAGTCTCTCCTCAATAACATCAAAAGTTTCTGTCTCTGTGTGCTTATGAACATGTGTGCATCTATCTATAAAATCCCATTACACAAGCACAATCTGATATATGAGTATCTATGAGCTATGACGAACAGCTCATACCTGTAAATCTGTGACACTGTGAGTATACATCTTGCTTCTACACCTACCCTCCCCAGATTCATAGCAACCTTGTTTCCCAGGCAGATAAAGGAGAGGGGAAGGTACTTAGTATTTTTGACAATCAGAATATTTCATTTATTGCTAAAAATGGGTATGTGACAGCTCGGGGCCTGGTTTTGAGAGGTATGAATCAGCCTCACATCAGTGAAGCTATCCAAGATATCCCAGGTGATAAGCAAGGATATACCTCCACATCCACCCCCATACTGAGCAGGGTATCATTATCCATCTGCAGAGGGGAAAACTCACCTAAACCAGTCAGGTTTGCAAGTGCATGCCAGTGGAGTACCAGTAATCCCCCCAAAGATTGCCATTTTCTTTAACAAAATCCCACTTCGTTAAAAAAAGAAGAAAAAAGAAAAGCTCAGGCATTAAAAGCTTTGGAAACGAGCAACATAAAGGGATGAAAAAAGTTCCCCAGCACTGTATTTCACATCTGAGATGGGAGAATTAGAGCCTAAAGATCTCTAAATCCATCCCCGCTTCAGGTGCTGTGCCTGCCCTCCTTTCATCTGCAGCAGGAAGGGGCGACCAGAGAGCTCTGGAGGTTTTCAATATATTTTTAGTTAAAAAGTGTAGTACGCATTTTAAGAATAATAAGTTCTGGGAGGCATCAAAAGAATTATGCTTTTTCTAACATGAAGATGTGCTGGTGGAAGAGATGAGTCCTCGGATGAGCTCAGCTGGAGGGACTGTGCTGCCCCTCTCCAGTTGCATATCTCAAAGTCACTTAAAGACAAAGCTGTCAGCTGGCGACACACCTTGGTTATTAACAGGACTTTTGTGCACGCTGTGGTGTCAGTACGAAGGCACAGCCACAGAGGATCCGGCACCCCGAAGAGGGATCCCAGACCCACAGCACTTTCAGAAAAGGCAGGTTTTGGAGCACAAGCGGTGGCTGCTGCAGCAGGAGGGACCTGGAGAATGGCGAAAGACGGGATGCTGTGCTGCCCATAACTTCTTCTATTTCTTCTATTCAGTGCTATTTTATCATTTTTTTAAAGTAGCAAAAATCTAAATAAGGATGATGCACAAGATATGCCAACAGGGAGCTGTGCAGTGACAAATTATTAGACTCCTACTAGAGCAGCTTTGAAAACATGCCCACGGCTGGGGACTGAGTGCGGGGAGCCAGCCCAACCCAGCTCCGAGCTACCAGTGCTCTCAATCAGCCTCCGGTTCCTCCTCCCTGCCCCTGCGCAGCACACCGGGAACATACCGGTTTGAGATAATGAGTTTTCTGAGGACCCATGAGTAGAGATAAATTACATTTTAAAAATTAGGTTGGAATAATAAGAATCAATAATTAGCCTTCCTCTTAAGGTGTAAGCAATGCTGGAGAAGAACAGATGAAATGTAGAAAGCAGCAATAAAAAGGATAGAAAAGACTACAATCTACCGAATCTTTGGATTCCTACTCCTCCCTTAAAACTACGTGAGTGCAGAGAAGCAGCTTTCTCCAAAGCAGAGGATTTCTCCCCAAGAAGTGACTAGTGCGATGGGTCCCACCAAAGGGCAAGCACTTACGGCAATTTTGGCCTTGATGCTGGCCAGCTTGTCCTGGGCAGCCGCCAGCTCCGCGTTGGCTTTGCTCAGAGCCTGTCGCTTTGGCTCCACGTCGCAGTACACCTCATGGAAGCGCACGATGTTTACCACCCAGGAGCAGAGGCCGGCCGCGGCGTAGGACTTGGTGGTCACAAATTCAGGTTTAAACTTGGGATCTTGTAAATAGGGCTGAAGGGCTTTGAGGCAGTTCTCGTGGATGTTCTCCTTGTCGAACTTGATCAAGGAGTCCAGGAAGCTATCCACCCTGGCCATGGCGACTTTCGCTGCTTTCCAGCTCCTGTCCTTGGGAATCTTTCCTCCCGGGGCCATCAGCACCATCACGGCCGCAGTGACATTGCTGACGGCTGAAGGCGGCGACCCGAAGGACCTCAGCTCTGTCAGATTCTTCTGAAGAGGGGAAAACAAGGTTGTTAGACAAAAATGAATGGGCTTTCTTTTTACTGTGCCACTAATAGAGTCAGGCTCCCAAGCTATCAATCTGATAAATTGGGTTTCTCTCGGCCTGAACATTGCTGCCTTTAAATCACCGCTATGCATGTTTACAGCACACGTGCTCAATTCCCTGCATCCAGCTCCTTATATCCCACTGGGACCAGCATGGCACAGTGTTCCTCCCCAGAGTCCCACCCTTCCCTGCTGCCAGCCCTCCTGCCTGGGGCAGCAGGAGGTTTTCTGCCCTCAGAAGATCAGGATAAGGAAAAAGGAAACCTTTCCAAATAATAACCTCTATAAACAGCCCCCAGCCCCTCTAAAACTGCCTTGCAGAGCTTCCCTTCATGCTCAGCTACTCCCTGTGCCAGAGACACCCATGCATTAGGGTCTTGTTGAATTATTCACATGCACCCTGTTTCCACAGGGCCATCATCCAGCCCGGATTTTGGCACTTTAACCAAGCAGGAGAGCAGTCGTTGGGGTGAACAGGCAGTTGCCCCTCCAGAATCAGCTGATCTCTGGGGACACCCGTGCCCAAGGGGGAGTTCCCATCTCCTCCACTGACAACACGGGCGGTTTTAACAAGTCCCTAATATTAAGTGGGATGAATCTTAACAAGTGAAAAAAAGCTAAAATGTGGAGAAACCACACGTTTCCTAACACACTTGCAACTGAGACAACAACGCGATGCTGAGGGTTTGATCTGCTGACACCCAGACTCCTCTCTCCACGCACACGTGAGTTAGCTTTTGCATAGGAAAACCCAGCATGGGTAAATCAGCTGTTTCCAGATGACACGCTGTTGTCAAAACAAGGATAAGGGCTGTTTCAACACGTTCAAGAAAAATCTATGAACTTCTGTCAGTTCCTGTTTCTATCAGTTTTGAATAGCTTTTAATCTATATTTTCTGATATTCTGTTTCTGTCTATGGAAACAAGGTAGAATAGTCTGGTACCCTTGAGCACCCATTTTTGGGATAAAGGTATCTGCTACTAACCCATTCCTGAATGTGTCTCTCCTTGCTTTTAGCTTTTGTTAATAATCGAGCTGATAGAGAGCTGTGTGCACTTCCAGTGTAGAATGTCTCTAATTAACATGCTCAGTGACATGGAGCCAACCGGGAGCAGAGCCGAGCACCCCAACACACCCTCCTCCGTCCCAAGCACCCTGCTCAGCTCGACTGGGAGCAGTGTGTACGCCGTGGCCTCTCCCCAGCCCCACACGTGCTGGGGGGCTGGGAGGGCTCTGGCGGAGCAGCCAGTGTTTAACAGCCCGCATCTCTGGGGAAATGGGATGCTGAGCTGGTACCTTGTTCCCTAGGAGGTGAGCACTTCCATGACATGATGGGAACGGCGACACTGCTACCCCGAACGGGAGGGAGGATGATGCTGTCCCGGCCAGGAGAGTGAGGAAGACCTGGGCAGCACAGGGTGGCTGGTTTCCTTCCTTACCACAAGAGTCTCTGGCACCACGGGACGAGGACAAGCCAGGTCTGCAGTGAGTGCCACGCTGATGAATTTGGGTACCAGGTAAAAGGAGCTCTGCCCTTTTCCCTCATGGCGTCAATCAGTCACATCTTAACAAATCACTCTGAATTCTTCTTCGGCGCACCAGAGTATCCCTGGGATAGAAACCACACACTGACACCAAGTGCCACCTCCCTCAGGAACACCGGCCGCTATGGAATCCTCAAATGCCTCTAGACCATCTCCAGGGGACATTCCTTGCAAGCAATTGCATGGAAGGTTCATTGCTTTTGATATTGTCACTGTCTTCTGCTGGCTGTAACCTGCGCAGAGTCCGAGCAGCACCGGCCAAGCGCCATCCTCCATTCCAAGGGGGCACAGACTGCCCAGCCATCTCCGCACCTCCTGCTGGAAAGTGCTGTGAGCCTGGCAGGACCCACCGTCAGGGGAAGGGAGTCCCAGAGCCCATGTGCCTTGATCTCCCCTTCCCCGCTCCCCAAATTGAGATGAGGATGCCAAAACATCAGATCCGCTGAGCCCCACGTCCTGCAATCCTTAGAGCCCAGGGGATGTGGATGTTGAGAAAGAGCCCGAGCACCCTCACAGGGCGAGCAGACAAACTGCACTGTAAGAGGTAAAATGGCACTTTTGTCTCTAAAATCTGATTTCCCGAGTTTTCAAACTCACTCTCACATCTGGGTTTGCATTTTTTCATTTTTGCAGGTGCTCTGTACTGGGTTTACCACAACCCACATGTCATTCATCACGGCCCGTACAATAATTAATTAGTTTATATACAGATTATATATATAATTATCTCATATATGTATATACTTATCTCTTTTTAACACCTTAAACAGCCTCTCAATTTGCCATGGGGGGCACTCGCACTGCCACCAAACCCTGCAAATGGCACTAACGCTAAAGCAGGGGACACAAGTGGCTGCAGCACCTTCGTCCTTCGCCCCGCGCAGCCGGAGCCGGGCTGAGCCAGCCTGCGGTCGCTTCTCGGCTCAAACGGAAAAAAGAAAAAGGAAAGTGTAAATTGTGAGAAACTCACAGAGAGCTGGGCTGCTGAGCTGGGCCGCCCCCTCCAGAGAGCAGCATGGCTAGGGATGGTTTTGAAGGCACCAAAGGGGATTATTTAAAGCATCAGAAAGATAATCCTCCCCCCACAAAAAAAGGAGCAGAAATCAAGTTGGATTTAGGTTGCATCTGAGGAGAAGGTAACGCACATGGCCTGGCCCTCTTCACCTGATCACACGCTGATCAGATGGACTGGTTTTGGCTTTGCTGGAATAATTTGTGTACCAACCCCCGCCCCCATGCACTTGTTACCCATAACTACAGGTCCAAACAGACATGGCTGCTCCTCTTTTAAACTAGGAGGTGACACTGGCACAGAAACATCCACATATCCCGTACTTACTGAGCTTCTTAGCAGCTTATTACTGCATTCTACCTGACAGATTTTCTCACTGTTTTCCCTCTTAATGTTGCATATAACAGTAACAGTGCTGTCTAGATAAGACGACTTAGATAATTGGGGAGAAACTACATATACACACATAAATATTGCTGATTATTCATGTCAGCAAGCAGGTCAAGCTCTCTGATGCATCTCTGATCAGCAGGTAAAGGAGACCATGCCTTCCAGTGCTCTGCTATTGCAGCTGTACAGATCCCTAGAGAAAATCCCAGCATCTCCCTAATCTTTGCCTAATGAGATATTCTACAGCTCCAGCACAAACCCAAAACTAATGAAAAGACAAACATTTTCCCTTTGTACAATCTTTTTCCTTCCAGGAACAAAAGCCAAAGCAACACATCTCTGCAGCAAAGCCACGTGTTTCCTGAAAGCTAATCAAACAGAAAACCCATTCCTGATGACTCGAGTTGCTTTCCTCTCTTCCAACAGGGCTGTGATGAAGCCAGAGTTTGAGGCATGACTGAGCCATGCCTGGCTGCGGTCGTGGGAATAATGCTGATTTTCTAGCTGCACCTGGTGCGTGGTCACTGCTCTGCCCTGGGGGCAGCGGGCGTTTGCTGCTCCAGGACACTGCGTGAACTACAGACCAAGATAAATTGCAGGTACGTGTCTCTGGGGCACATCTTGAAGTGTCGGGCTCCAAATGAGAACTCCTGGAGTGCCCCTGAAGGAAAAACCTCCCAAGGTACCAAAAGCCTTCCCCAAACGAATCACTTAAGGATGCTCTGACTGCAGGAGACTATCTCCTGGTTATACATTTCCCTATGCATCTTCCTTTGGAGTCATCTTGTCTGCAGCAATGTACAGCTCTACCAAGAGATCATCCCACACTCAGTACCCAACTACCCACCACCAGTAACAGTGTTACAGCCCAAAGACACTGCTGAAGAACAGGTCCTCTCCCCACCCGAGAAGCCCCGGTACTGGATAAACCCAAACATGGGATGAGACTTCTGTGCCAGCACTTCTTATTGTGTCAAACCAGAAGTGACCCATGAGTGCACCTGTGGAGACAAGCTGTGTGTATCAGACACTGAGCATCACACTCAACAAGGCCTGAGAACGTCTTGGACAAAGAGAGGACAATGCAAATCCAGCCCAAATACAGCTGGAGAAGATCAGTCCAAACCCTCTGGCCACCCTGTTTTGTCCCTACAATAGCAGGGAACTCGCGAGAGAAAGATGCCCAGAGGAGCTCAAGAAGTCACCAACTCTCCTCACTGCATCTGTGGATCTCTGCTCCCTCTTCCCCACCTTGTCCTCTCCCTCGGCCAAGCAAGGCACTTGCTGTGGGCTGCAGGAAGATGCTGCCCCACTGCCCTGCAGACTTGGAGGGAGATGTGAGCCTTCCCATCACAGATCTCTTTCCAAAGCAGGAGACAGGTCAGGTGGAAACTTGGAGGATGCCCACACTCACTGCCAGCTGCAGCCCCACACTGCCAGCCCCACACTCATCATCTAGGTGAGTCTGTGGGGCTCACACGAAATCTGTCTGTGAAATGTTCTCAGCACCAGCTAGGCCACTGGGGAGAAAGGCTCACAGAGTAGCTGGGTGTAAAATCTGCCTTGTTGGTATTCTGGAGTGTTCTCAGCTCCTGCCATGCTGATTGTGCGCTCGCACATAACTACCCCAAGCAAACAGCATCGATACTGTCTCTCACTGAAATGAAGGGTGCTTGGGCTTCACCCTGCCTGTCCTGCAACACCTCCTGCACCTCTGCTGTGACCAGCTAAGGACACAGTGCTCCTGGCCACAGGACCCCCAGGACAGTTGACAACCAGCCCTCCGGAGAGCAGCGGCAGCCTCTCGTCTCCCCTCGTACAGCTTCGTTCCCCGCAGCTCAGTGGTAACAGCCTCAGAAACATCTGGAGAAAGAGCTGGTTGTGCCCCTGCCCCAGAGCCCAGCCCTCCATCCTGCACGTCCTCCTCCATGCTAGCAGACAGGTCTGAGCCAGAAACACGGCCCAGACAGCAAGACAGAGGTACAGAACTGGTGAGCCCTCTGACACTGACTTCTGGCTGCTCCAAGTTATATCAGGGACCAAGTATGCACCATCTGGGAAGAAGCTGGAGGACGGTCAATACGATACCCAAAAACTTGGGCTATCAGATGACACTGCCCCCCCTGAATGCAGAGGGGAGATACTGGATTCCCGCAGGAATCTTCACCCTACCTTGTTGAGGGTGTTCAGAGCAGCCTGGGCAGCTGCCAGGGCAGGCTCAGCTTTGGCCAGGTCTTCCTCGCAGTCCTTCTGTTTCTGCTTGACCTCCTGGGTGATAAGTGCCACCTTCTGTTCCTCCTCATCAGCTATTGCCTTTTCCCTGCTCACTTTCTCCGTCTCCACCCCCACCACCTGGATCAGCTTGTCAGCATCGTCATTCTTCTGCTTCAGCTCCACTTCTTGGGCTGCCAGCTTGGCCTTCAGCTCATCCACCTACAGGGAAAAAACATGCGTGGGAGCACGGACACTCACCAACCTGATCCCCACCCTGCCCAGCAGCACGGGCTCACACACAAGTAGGGCTGCATGTAAAGCAAGCAATGCCCTGGCAGCACAGAAAAGCAGTATTTCTAGCTGTTAGCAGGATAACGCGCTCTCCTTTGCTCATGGTTGCTCGTGTTGTCGTGGTTCAGCCCCAGCTGCAGCTCAGCATCACGTGGCCACTCGCTCAGTCCTCCCCCATGGGATGGGGAGGAGAATCGGAGGAAAAAGATGAAACTGGTGGGTTGGGATAAGGACAGTTTACTGGGGCAGCAAAGGGAGAGGAAAATAACAACAACAATACTTTGAATATACAAAGTGGGCGATACGCAAGGCAATTTTCTCACCCAAACCAATGCCCAGCCTGACCCCGAGAAGCTGTGCCTCCTCCCCAGCCAGCCCCCGTCCTATGCTGAGCATGACGCCATATGGTATGGAATGGTATGGGATGTCGCTTTGGCTAGTCTGGGTCACCTGTCCCGGCTGTGTCCCCTCCAAGCTCCTTGTGAGTATTAACTCTATCCCAGCCAAAAACAGACCCCTGGGCACCAGGAGCCAGCTCTCCCCATGCCGCCCACCCGCCCAGCGCACTGTGCCACTCTTCCACCCCTCCGTGACGTGCCCACGCACACGCAGCACAGCAGCACCCCATCAGTTCCCCCACAACCGTCAGTCCCTATGGACTTGTGGCGGGAAGGGCATTTTTCACACCAGAAAGATTACGATTGGGATCTGCTGACAGGTTCAGCCCTTCTCAGAGATCCAAGGCTCCAGGGGCTTTAACATGTGATGTCAAATGAGCTTGAGAAGGGACCTTCCCCCGCTCAGCCGGTAGCCAAGAGGCATGGCAGTGGTGGCAGCTCCTCTCACACTGCTCCTCCGAGCAGCTGCTCACACCCAGCAAGGCAGGAGTCCTCTTCAGCAACAGGCTGTAATATTTGCATGGTGGGGGAGCTCGCGCTGGCTCTCACTTGAAGATAGAAAGTCTCTCTCACTTGTTTCGATCAATTTACACAGGCTCTGTGCAGACCACAGAGTTTTTCCCTGTCCTGCCATCAGGGTCATAAAGGATTGCTTAGAGCTCCTGGGGTACGTCTTTACCTGTATAAAAATACTTACTAGAAGGGAAGTCAGACACTTGCTTTTGTTGATAATTCCATTTTTACACCAGAAGAGAGAGCACAATTTGCAATCTTACAAACTGAAGCTATTGACATTCTGCTTCAAGTGGAGAGTGGTTTCTTAGGAGTCTCTTTGTGCACTTCATCCATTGTCATCTCCTGCTGCCTGGCACTACAATGCTGTTTTCACCAGGACAAAAACGCGACTGTAAATCCAAACGACTCCGGGCTCGCAGGAGCACATAATCCCTTCAGTCGGCAAACTCAGCAGCAGCTTCTTGTTCAGCTCCACTTCTTTGGGGATTGCAGGAAATTGAAGTGGGAGACTTCACTGATGGCAGATACAGCTTGTGACCTTCTGCTCAAAAATCAGTAATCATGTGCTGGATACATACATGAATGGGAGCTTTAGGGGTTTACACGACCATGACAAAACAAGCAAGGGATTAAAACCCACTAGCACTCAACAGCGCTACACAGTGGAGAGATGTAAACTCAGCCCCCAGCACCGCCCGTGGGAACAGAAAGCATCCCGACAAAACCTGCTTTCAGCCAATCACATGCAATAACGGAAGGATAAATGACTTGCCATAACATTGTCAGGATTTAAAAAAAGCAAGCAATTCAGTTAGGGCTTTGCCTGAAAGAAATATTTGGAAGCCCAGAAGCATGTTACTGTGAAGGCCCCTGCCGTGCTGGGCTTGGGTTACACATTGAATTCCCAGTGGGAATGATGCAAGTCGGAGCTGTGATGTGTATCCTGAGGCTCTGCTGGACCCTCTGCCAACAGACCACACCACGTCCAGGGGACATGCGCTGACCCCCAGCCTCCCTTACCTACGGCAGGAGTTTGGAACATGAAAGGGAACCATCATGTTTCCCAGTGAGGCTGAAGCTCAAACACGGCTGAGCAGGGACGATTTAACAGTGTTTGTGCAGTGGGAAGAGAGAAACAGGCACTGCACCTAAATAACCAAACTCCCTGTCTTAGTGATGTCCTGGGGGTGGCACACGGAATGTACATTTATGAACTTTACTCCTCCAGTTTCATCCCCTCAGCACAGCAAACAAGTTTCCCTTAATCCTATACTCGCATCCACAGCAAAAACCGTCTGTTGCATCCATTTCTCCTCCCCTCCCACATATCCTAATGCCCAGACATGAAAATGCCCGATGAGACACCAGTGAGCAGGGAGGCCTCAGGCCACCGCCCTTGGGAAGGCACAGGCACAGCAGAAACCTGAAATGTGCTCCCACCAACGGCCAGCGGAGCCGTCCCCGGCAGAGCAGCGTTAGGAACGAAGGCATGAAAAGGTCTCGTCTTTCTACAAACATCACAGTAACTGAAGGTACTCAAATTTCCCCTCTCTCACATCAAAAAGGACCTTCCATCCAAAAAGTATGGCAGCTTGTACACAAAGCTATTTTCTGTTTCTTTGGAAAACCCAGATGCTTGTCATTTTTCCAGCCATTAACCTACACTTCCAAAACCCAGAGGTGGCCAAGCCCGACCACCACTGACACGTATTATCTCAGGGTGTGCAGAAAACCTTCCCAGCACAGCTCACATCTTCTGTCCTCTCACAGCCCAGAACTTCTCCAACAGTCGCACACAGTCTCCCTCCTTGCACTGACACCCCCTTACTCCTTGCTCACCCTATGAAAACCAGCAGTGTTACAAACCATTCGGATCAGGAGCAGGGCCATCCACCATCTTTTGAGCATAGGACTGCACCCGTGGAAGGGACCCACGTTGGAGAAGTTCATGGAGGACTGTATCCCGTGGGAAGGACCCCACGCTGGAGCAGGGGAAGAGAAGAGTGATAGAATGGCTTGGTGGGCACCTGGCGTCCAGCCAGTAACAGAAACCAGGACCACTCAATGTGAGGGGAAGGTTGAACACCAGAAACCCATCAGTCTGGAAGACAGAGTTCAGGAAGGCCCTAGAAGGCACGGGGCATGTGTGCATGGAGCAGGGGCACCCGACGCCTGGCCGTAGGCATGGACAACAGGGCCACCAGGGCCACAGGGAGTTGCTAAAATAGATAAACAGAAGCAGCTCCATGTGGAGGAGCAGGAAGAGACTGTTTTATGTCCAACACAAGAGCACGGGATTGGGGTTTCACACCTCTTCAAAGACATGAGCCCTCAGCTAACAGTGGACTCAGGGTGCTGCAATGACCTGTCCTGCTTGGTTCCTGCCAGCACGTTGGACCCTGCGGTGCTGCAGAGCAGCCACAGACACCTACTTTATAAATTACCATCCAGACACACCACAGAAGAGTCATTACCACACTCAGGGGAGCTGAGAAAAACACCACCAACTTTTCCAGTGTCTGCCAACACTGGCGAAAGCAGAAGATGCCTTTTGGGTAACACATAGCTGGTAAGCAGAAGAAAGCAAGAACTACAAGAGAACAACAGTACAAAAAGAGACTAAGGTGGAATGGAAAATCACAGCAGACTGTCATCGCAAGGAGAAGAGAGAATGCTATCAATCTCCTTCCCATAGGCAACACCAGGATAATAACCAGATCAAGGTGTGAGCAGACAGATCCAGCACATGCCTTAGCACACAGAATGTCATGACTGGCCACAAAATTGTCAGTGATTGGTCCCAGACAGTGCTAAGAAATGTGAAAAACCTGTGAGCAGCTTCCTGAGTCCAGGACATTGCTGATAAGCAATTAGTAATATGAGGCGGAAAGAGAAAAAGCAAAGCAAATGAGAGACTCAAGGGTAATGTACTGCGACTCCAACAAGGAAGGAAGAAGTGCTTGCCTACCACCAGGACAGCATATGAAGAATTATTAAAGAACAGAAAACCTGGAGGGTAGGCTCCCAGAAGACTCATTTTATCTGATTGTCCCTGCCTTGTTTCAAGAACACCAAATACATCACAAAGGTCACCGATTTAATTGATAGAGCCAGCAAGACTTGAATCTGGAATCCAGTGATGCAATCTTAACCAAAGTCATCCTAAAAATTACTCAGCAGTGGGCTCTGAACAGAGCACTGACCTCTTCACAGAGAACATCACTCTGAAAAACAAATGACTCATCCCACATATCTTCCCAAGTCTATTATGTCCTAATAACTGGAAACCGGCTTCTGCTTTTCTGAGTACTGAGGACAGCCACTGTCTTCAGGGAAAGATGGTTAGGCATGTAAGCTAATGGAAAACATTTCTTTAGAAGAAAAGTTGGTCAACAGTATCAAGATGTCCAAATCTCAAAAGGAAAAAAAAAAAAGAGTGGGGGTGGGGGTGGGGAGAAGAATAAAAGGGAAGGAGAGGTTATTTTGAAACTGGAACGGCTAAGTCAACAAGTACCCTGCCACTACTTGCACAACAGCCCTCTCATGCTGAGGCCACACTGAACCTTCTATAGAAATGCATAACAATCATAATTAACTTGTCTAGCAGGAATCCAGAGAATGCTGATGATGGGAGCACTAGTCCTCAGACCTAAGGCACAACCAGGTCATACCCATGTATCAAAATCCTCCTCCTTTGCTTTGAAAATAAAAAAACCACAGTGTATTGCTTCCAAGCACCATGAACACAACCTGGAGATGACACACCTGCATGAGACGAAGACTTGTCACTTCCTCAACACCAAGACCAACCATTTCCATGGGTGAATGTAAAGTTCAGGCTTTTAAATCCACATTCAAGACTGAACGTTCTGGTATGATTTGCAATACTGCTAAATATCAACACTGGTTTCAAATCAACAGCAGTTTTGACTATTGCGCACATCTGACAATTTAGGTGTTTAATTTTAGGCCCCCAGTGCTAATTTTAGATTCAAATTTGACATAGTTGTCCTCACTGTTCTGCATCTTAATCAACTTCACAAACAGGCACTTCTTGCCCCAGCCTCGCTCCAGCCAGATATGAACTTTGCGTTCTTTTACCCTTCTGGCAATAGCAAAACATACAAGACCCACAGGTGCTGTGGCTTCCCATCTCCTCCCCAGTCCTCCACCACTGCTCAGCACCTGTTCTGTGGCTCATCAGAGAACTCTTGCTGACATAAGACCCATATGAAGATATGCCTGAAGAATACAGAAGGGTCTCGTTGTTTGACCAATCCTACAGGAAATTGTTCCCTCTCAGAAGGTTAGTTTCATATTAGTTGGTCCCATTAAAAAATAGACCTAACCCATCCTGTCCAGCACTGGGGTATCATCAAAACCAGCAGCACCCCACAGGTCAGCACAATTATTTGCCTCCACAGGTAATGCAGATGTAAGGTCTGCTTTGCAGTGAGGGCACATACTTACTGCTCTGGTTGGTATCACTGTGATGGGTGCTCTCTGCTCATCAACCTCATCTGCATCCTCACAAAAGAGATGCTAAAACTTGCAAAGGGGACATGAAACATGCCCACTCCCCTCCTGTGTCCTCAAAGACCTGTCCTGCACCATGAAGAAAGCAACTGTCTGAAGTGAGATGTAGACTATCAGAGTTGGGAGCCACTAATAAAGCCCATACATCACCCTCCAGTAAGGCTCATGCCCTATTGAGCATGACAGACATGATTTATGCCACCAGCATTACCCAGAACATATATATGGAAGGGGTTGAACTTGTTAGTCCTTCATTCACATCAACCCCCTGCATTTCTTCGGAGCAGCTTCAGGAGAGGCCCATTTGCCACAGTAGAAGCTTGTAAGTGAACATTTGTAAGAGTTAAGAGGATACGGAATGGAGAGAAAAACAGGAGTTTAGCAACAGATGTAGACAGCAAAGCCCTGAAAGGCAGCGCGAGTCACTACAGAGAGGTCTGTGAAATACTCAGAACAACATCTAGGCTTTACCGCAGAAGAGTGCCAATGCTGCTTTTTAGCAGGGGGATTTTGGGACAGCTAATCCACATTTCAGACATGTGTTAGTTTTTCTTAAAGATGGATAGCATAATGCAAGGAAAAATGAACATCAGCCTTATTTTAAAAGGCTGCTCTATTTAGTTTGTAAGAGGATTCTCGCTGAAGTCATTGTAGATTTCCTGGATGCAACTCCAAAAATCACTGATCTTCCTGTATTTTATAAGCTATTTTGTCACAACAGTTGAAATATAATCATTAAAAGATGTACGCAGCCAACTGGATCCCTACCTCATTTTATTTACTTTGATCTTTTATTTGAGATTAGCACCACCCAAACAGCAGAGACTGGACACATATTTCTTCCCTTTGCCTTTCCAGTACTCCTGCTCCTCCAGGAGCCAGTTAAAGCCAGACTAGAACAAGGATCTAGCACAAATTTTACGCCCTGCACTGTTTCACCCTGTAAAGTTCTCCTTTGAACCAGGATGCAGAAATGTCTCTAACAGAGAAACAAGGAAAACCATCAGCTTTTAACCCCAAAGGGTTTGCTTACCTGTGCAGACGTGCTGTTGAGCTTCTCTAGGCCGTTCTCCAGCCGCTCCATTTTTGCTTTTAAATCCTTGCCCTTTTTCAGTAGCAAATTCTGGTAGAGTTTGATTTGCTCAAGAAACGACTTTGGAGTTGTGTAGTTATATCGTCGCTCATTGCTCAGATACAGTCGGGATATTTCATTGACACTTGTGTGGACATAGGCCATGAATTTGCTTATTGAGTCTTTCACTGAATCCTACAGGTAAGATGAAAAGACAAGGAGAAAATATTATTTTAAACAGAACAGCTATATATATCACAGACCTGTGCTGTATATAAAGTAATTTATTAACTTTTTAGTCTGCTGAAGTAAAATCCAGGATGTAACATCTAAGCTGATCCCTTTTCATTTGTTATCTCTAAAATAAGTTTGTCTGCTCGTGTACTTTATGCCTCTTTTTATATCTTTTTATGTCATATTTTATCTTATTCCGAGCAATTTTTCTAGCATTCAGGTCTATAAAATAACAGCCTTTTAAGTATAAATTTGGGCTTTTCTCCTGTACAAATGGGGAAAGTACACACTCATAAAAAGAAACATTGTAGGCTTTATTCTTCCCAAATCCTGCCCATAAAAGCTAAATAAACAGAACTGAATCTCTTTTAGTCTAGTGGCAGGTTGTCATCAATGAGAACTTGACATATTTTTGCCCTTGAGAATTACAGACACTCAGACAAGCATGTGGAGAGAAAAGTGTATGTTCCCTGCAATAATCATAAGCATTAGGTTATTTTCTGCACGGATTTGTAAGCTGCCTCTCTTGCTAGCAAAGCAGTCATTTCACTGCGATACTATCAGTGTACAAACACACGCGAGCGTGGTGCCCATGGCCATTCTTCCGCGAAGGTCCATGCCCCTCTCTGAAAAACCTGGACTATCTATTTCAAGCGTGGTCCCATTCACTTGGATGCACCACAGCACTACCCACAACTCCTCTCCCAACAGTCACCCAGATGTCCTGGATAAGTGCTGGAGGGCAATAAAGGTGAGCAAACCCTCTCTGCAATGATGCCACCGTTCGGTGAGGCATTGCTTGCACTGAACGGAGGGACGAGGTCACACCGTGACCACCACCGTGCAGCCCGCGCCTGCACCCCCAGCAGAACTCCAACCCAGCACGGCTGGGACACCCCCAGATGCCATCGGGGAGGTGCTCACCTCCACGCTCTCTGTTTCTCGCAGAAAGCGGAGGCTGACGGACTCGAGGGCCTCCCGCGGCCACTCCTGGAACCAGTCTATGGCTGTGCAGCTGATGATGGCAGGGAACCTCCTGCTGCGGACGCGCAGCTTGTTACCGACAGGCGAAAAACACAGTGCGACCTGTGGGGCCCAAGGAAGAAGAAGGTGAGAAGACACGTCCAGGAGCGGGTGCCAGGCTCCAGCCACGCAGCCCAGCCCAGGCTCTTCCAGCCACTTCCACAGGAAGATCTCACACCGGCAGCTGATGGACAGCAACCTCAATCCTTCAGCCCTTGTCCTTCGGGCCAGCAAGTCTGGCCTGGAAAAGGCACAATCTAGCAGTAAACACATTTTTTCTCTGCAATAAAGACAAGCACTGGTGTTCAGCATCGCTATGGTCAAAAGCAGAAGCCTGGCACACTTTCAAGGCTGCAGCCGGGGTTTAATATAGCCACTCTTCTCTGCTTCAGCAGTGACACAAAGCTTCGCCTGGCAGGGAGCTGGCATCCAGATTCAAGTGGTGCAACCAGGAATTAAAGTGAATGGATCTAAATTCTCCTGGCAGGACCACAGGCCTGCCTGGATTGTTTCCCCAGAAGCCAGCATTGAAAAGCGTTGAGGTGGTTCAAACTCAAAATCTGCTTTTATCAGAATGAGCAATTTTTTAAAATAGAGAAATCTCAAAACAAGGCAGAATGGAAATAACAGCATTTGTGAATGTGTTTTCCCTGCTCATTGCATTTTTGCGCAGCAGGTCCTTTGCTTTTCAGGCTTTTATTTCAGTCCAATGGCTGCTAAAGGTTTCCGAGTTGCAGCAAATCGTGTAGTGTTCGTGGGTCTCTGGGGCCTGGGCAAGGGGCTGTTACTCCCCTGCTCAGCATCCTCCCAGCCCTGCACCATTCCTCCTTCCTCCAGCCTGCAGCACCCTTCCCTCGCCCACCTGCCTTTCTCCTTCCCCACAGCCAGCCTGCTCAGCCCCTCTCAGGAAGGAACAAGCTCTCCCTTCTCCAGAAAGAAACTCCTCACCCAGGATGTAAGGTCAGGCCAAGGCAAAGTACCTTTCCTCTTCACTGCCCCACCACCAGCTTTAACAGCAAAATAAGGCCCCAGGACCAAAACCTGCCACGACCATTCACCACAGCTCTTTTCCAGCAAGCCCACTGTGGCTGGATTCACGAGCTCTGCTGACCAGGCACAAAGGAGGACACAGATGAGTTGCCCCCATGCAATGAAGTAGCAATATCTGAGCAAGGGCTGGTTTGGGAAGCAGCATGTCTCACTCGATGCATCGTCCCTCTGCCACTTATTAGCCCTGGCTGGTACCTGCACAGCCTTGCAGGTGCCATGGGGCAGCCGCTGTTGGCTCAGACATCTCTATAAGGTGTCACCACCTCCACCGTGAGCTATGATCTGGTTTCTGGAAGCTGCAAAAGCTGGCCTGTAACAAAACAACTTTCATTTCCTTTTCGGAAGAGGCAGCTGAACTCAAAGCTTCTGCTCCTCTGACACGGCTCGCACACAGGGGATGGACATGCAGAAATCCTTCCCACACCTTCAAGCATAAGCCTCAGGCACCTCTGTTGCTCTCTCAGGGCCAGGCAAGCTTCAGGAAGCTACCCATGTACAAAAGCCCTCCTCTGCACCAACACTTTCAAGACCCTGAGTCAGAAGGTGTGTTGGTGCTTGTGGTGCGTTGGGCCAAGCCCCACTTGGGTGCTGCTCCCAGAGGTCCAGCATGCTGCTCCCCGGGCCAGCAACGGCTCGATCAGCTTCCTGCACAGCACGTGATGCCATCACAAAATGCTGGGGAGAACAAACAGCACTTCCCAGCTGGCCCCATCCATCTGCTCTAACACACCGTTAAGGAGAAGGGCAGACAAGGAAAAGGGATCAGCCTCAAGTAAATCACATCCACGCTGCCCTTCCAGTGTACCTCAAGAGCTAACAGGAATATATCTAGGGAGGGACACCAGGCAGAAGGTAACCAAGGTGCCAGAAGAGCTATAAAACAGGTTCAGTGCTCATCAGAAATTCCCCTCCACATTGGGAGAGAGAACTGAATTCCCTCTCCTTGTGCATCTATATTGTGGCATGATCCCCAAATTTTCCCTCAAAATTCAACTCTCCAGCTGTTCCCCATCCTAAACATGTACTTACTTACATCAAAAAGGGAACAGGCCATCCTACCTTAGCGAATGTGTCCCACCAACACAACCAAGCAGTGAGTAAGAAGAAGGATATGGTTTCAGTAAGCAAAGGCCAAGTCTTCACTCCCTCCCCACCCCACCTCTTGCTCTGGGACAGCAGCACTGTGCAGTCCTGCAGATGGGTAAATACCTTCTGGAAGAGTCTAACTCCTTCCCACACTGTACTTTCTCCATGTGCTGGGCATGCCTGGAAAGTCCTGAAACTCTTCTGGGATCTCAAGACATCTTTATAAGGCCTTTCTATGCTGGAATATGGGCTGCGGTGGGTGAAATCCTGAATGCATGTTGTGTCCCACTCAGTTCCCAGTACTCTGATTTTAAGAGAATGGTTTTTTAATTCTACTGGCTATGGATTATCAGCAACATGAAGACTGAACCCCTGTGCAACTTTTCCAAGCAGCAAGACCTAGTCTCGACGTACCCCAGTTAAAACCCAGTGCGTGGCTTTGAAAATGGAAAGGTTAGTCCGGCTCAGCTCTTGAAAGAGAAAATTTTCAACTCCCATAGTGCTGTCCAAAGCCCAAGAAGTGATGACAACAGCATTTCCTGTGCTTTAGTACTACTTGCTGAGAGAATCACAGCTCACACGAACAGGCAGAAAAGCCTTTCAGGCTGCGGTCTGACCTCCCTACAACGTAGCCTAAAGCATCTCCACCCCGTGCTCTGGCACCAAGGTCGATGGTGAGGACTCGAGCTCCCCCAGCCTCTGTCTCACCTTCAGCTGTCGTCGAACACGGTCTATAAAAAACTTCCAACAAGTCTCCCTGGAGTCCACCAGCCCCCGGCCTTTGACTTCGTTCCTCATGCTGTTGATGATGTTTTCAACTTCATCGTCGGGGAAGAGATCAGGGATTTCACCTAAGAGAAGAGGACACGTTTTGGTTTACTGGCCTGGATTTTGTGGCAGTCTTAGAGCAAAGTGAAGTGGCTGTCTCCCTCTTTGGGGCTTGAGGAAGCCCCTTCCTTGAGAAAAATCATTGCGCCTGGTGCCCATTGGCCCCCGCAGCAGAAGGGTGGCACAGAAAGTCATTCTGCTAAAAAAGAAACACTTGTGAGAGCAAACTTTCTTCCAAAAGCACAAGGTAAACAAACAGAAGAGTCAAAGTACAGAAAGTCCATTTTTTTCTGATCTACAGTGCTAATTAGTTTACCAAAAAAATCAAATACCCAATATGCTATACACAACAATGAAATCATTTTAGTTTCGCAAATGAATTCATTACATGTACAATTTCTACAGCTGTTCAACACCATTTCCAGCAGTGGTCAAGTAACTCCCAGATCATCAAAACATTTTAAAAGTTAATAATCTTTTACAAACTTTTAAAAGTTAATAGTTATGCAACTGATTGCCAAAAATGTACCCAACCAAATATTTTTTTTAGTGGTTCCTTAATTTATCACCTATTCACTTCCTTTCTGGCTTCTGGTTTGATTGAAATCATCGTTATTGAGTGAGATACCGTCAATATGAGCACTAATCACTTAGGAAAAGACACTAATCAGAAATCTGCTCATTTATAAGAAAGACTAAAATACATATTTCATTCTAGCTTCTTAGGGAATGGTAAGAAGTGAAACAAGTCAGAAAAACAAGCATGCAGACAGCAGAGAGCAGCCAGAGCCATCAGGCAGCACCCACAGGGCAGCACTAGCTCATGTCATGGGAAGTCACGGTCCCTCCATGGTCCCTTCCTCAGTCCCAGCTGCAATTCTGGGTCCCTGGGCCCTGAGTGAGGACCCATTTCCCCACATATCAACCACAGCAAAACATAATGCCTTTCAAAACCACCATAAGATGATCTGGATGTCCCAAAGCCAGGCTGCGCCTCCTGCTCCTTGCTGCAGGAGCTTCACCTTGAGTCATGAGATGTTTGTGTCGTCTACACCACACGTAAGAGGCGGTGGGTGTTACTCACCACCCTCCACAACAACCCCTGTCCTTACTCCTGGTTACAAATTCATCACAGGCAGGGCTTGTTTACTGCTCAAACCATCTGGCCAATTTATAGCCACATATGTCAGCTCTGGAGTTACTCACAAACTATCGCTCCCCTGTGCTATCAATTCTCCACCCCCCACCATCCACGGAGGTCACCTGAACCAGCTGGTATCTTCACACTCCCGACTCATAAATAAGGCAACAAGTGGCACGCAGTTAGTAGCAGTGATTTACCAGGGAGTCTGGGGAATACGCCCACTCTGGGTTACCTAGTGCGGTCATGGTGACACAGCTGCACACTCCCATGTGCACTGTAGCAGTGGGAGTGCTCACCCACACGTACTTGTGCCATGTTCTGCAGGGAAATAGAGTGCTTGCATGTAGACTGACTATTCTGCAATTGTTTGGGCAAGCAACAACTCAAAAACTTAAATGCATCTGGAAGAAGAAAGAGAAAAAGGATTGCAATGGGATAAGCAACTAGTTGATGCACACAGACATGGTCATCTGGTGGCTTTGCATCCTCTACCAACTCGCAGATACTCCTAGCCAGGAACAACCTTATTTTGTTAGGCAACCAGAGTGTGGATGCACAGGATCCATCGGTCAAACTCCTTCTCTGTCAATACATTCCTTTGGCGCTGTTCTCAGCTGCAACATCAGAAGAGACACGTCACTTAACATCCACATCCACGTACCATGAAAGTATGGAAAAACTAGATATAAGACATCAGAGAAAGAAAAAAATCTACCAGATGATGGAGTGCATCCTCTCCAAGGAGACCTTAGCACTGCTTTTACTCTAGAGCTTAACCCGTGTATCTGCTAGCTTCATTCACATAACTTCATATATCGCCCTTCTGTATATTCTAGAACGACAGATGCTACCAGCAGATTTACATTGAAAAGGGGGAGAGGAGAAATTAAAGCAATGAGAGATATACCTGATGCTAACAAGTCATTCACCAGCACCAGGAACTGTTCATCTGCCACTTGTGCGTCGGTCATCAGGAACACGGTGCCTATGTTTTTCAGGCCAGCTTTCAGGTACTGGTTTGCCAGGTCTGCCTGGGGGTTCAAAAGCAAATGGACTTAGGGGTTGCACCTACGTTCTGCAAAACATGGGCTAGGTACCACATCTACAAGAGGGGTATTTCAGAATCTTCCCATTAATCGAGAACAAAGCAATAGGAATTAATTAGCAAGAAACTGCACTTTGGACGTTCTCCATCTTCATGGCTGAACCTTCCAGGGGAGATGGGGGAGTCTATTGCTGTCATCATTGTAAGACATTACCAAGGAAGATGTGACATTATGCCTAGATCTGTATAACACAAAAATGAGAGGAGAGCCCTGCCCAGCACCACCAGACAAAGGGAAATGCCTGTGGCTGAAACACTTTGAGGTCAATGACTGTGACTGAAGTCACCAATGCAACCCCTGGTTGAGGAGCCTGCAAGGGGAGTTCACAAAAGCTCACTCTGCCCCGGGCTGTGGGTACAGTAAGTCACATACACAGGGAGGCTGAAGCACCACAGGGACTGGGAGGGACGGCAGTGACTGGAAACGTTGGCCCTTGGTATCCCCATGCTGTAGATTTCTCTGGTTTCACAAGTACACATCAGTATTTTTTTTTCTGAGGTGCTGCAACACATTTTTTTGTTCATAAAGAAGGGAGCAGGATGTCTTGTGCAAACATGGATTTTTTCAGTTGTGTATTTCTTCCTTCTCTACCAGAGTCCAAGCAGGGACTCACCCTTCAGTCTCCCGCTTGGTGCAGTGATGCTGACAGACAGCCTGCTCGCATGGAAAAGCTGTTTCATTTCAAAGAGGACAGTGTCACCCTACTGAAGGACACCAACTTTTTGAAATCCAAATTGTTCATGAGATGGGAAAAACATCATCATCCAGCTCAAACTCCATCCTTTCCTCCCTGCCCCTCCAAGCTGGATACAAGACATGCCGAGGACCCTGAAGGAACACACCGGCCAACATTTCAGAGACTCTCTTAGGAATTCAGCAAACACACATGCTTCCTCCAAAAGAATCATTTGTTACTTTCACCACTGGAAGTTTGGATTAGATCAATTATATCAGCGGGGTGGGCCAATGGCAGACAGGGTAATCTGTCACCATCTTGCTCTTCCATATCTGAGAAAAAAAATGACTCCATAGTTCATAAATTCTTTGAAAATGAATACAGAGTGAAGGGAACATCAAATTATTTTCCACCTCCACAGACGGAGAAGCAAACAGATGCTTTGAAAACAAGTTTATTAATGCTGGTATCAAGCTATATTCCTAGATGGGAGTGCAGGCTTCCTCAATACGTATGCAGGTAGGAGCTAGAAAATCCCACGAGTGGGGCTGAACAGCACAGACAAGAGCTGAAAATACCCAACGGATGGTGGGACAGGCTTTTGTGACATGATGAAAACAACTTGTGCACAACCACAGACCATCAGGTTATGCCATTGATGGGGAAGGAACCCAGGATTCATTGGTCATCACATCTCCAAGGCAGAACGGAGTGAAGTTACTGTGATTGTGATTTTTACAACATTTTTATTGAGCATCATTTTGCCAGCAGCTAAAATACTTTTAAACCATTTCAGTGATATTTTAAAATGTTAATTTATAACTCCTAAGCTCACTAGCCTGTGCATAAATATGAGCACAGGCACATGTTGTCTGTAGCGAACCATCCACCATCCACTCAGTCCCTCTCTTATACATAATAGCAGAGGAACTGGATACGATTTGGGAATTCTCCTCCTACTCTCTCCTGCTCCTTTTCCACCTCCAAATCACTCCACAACAGGCATCTCACAGACGAGCTAATTATCACATCCTGGCTTAATCAGAAGTAACAATCAAATAGAACTTTCCTTGTCCTTTACGGTTTCTTGAACAAGCATGAAGTAGATGTCCACACCGCTGGGTTCGTTAGCACAGCCCAGCGCCGACACGAAGTCTGGGGCTGGAACGGTCCCAGGCCTGGCAGAGGACATAAGGTCTGTCTGCACCCCTGTGCAGACACACTTCAGCAAAGTATTTTGAGAAGCATTGCTCCTCTCCTCAGTCCCATATTGTATATGGACCTTTTTAGTATCTTCACAACAGTGTCACTCAATGTGCAACAAGATAAAGTTTTCAGGGCAAGTTTTTATTTCCTTCCCCTCCACCTCAGCCTTAAAAGTCACCTACCTTCAGGTCAGGGATGCCATAACCTTTCCTCAAAGTGATCTGGAAAACCTCCAGAGAGCTAATGAAGGCTGCCAGTCTGGTCAGGCTCTGCTTGCCACTTCCGCCCACGCCAACCAGGAGAGCGTTTCCTCTGGGGGACTCCAGGATACGGTTGATGCGGCAACTAAATTGAAGCATACAAAATCTCTCATTAATAAGAGTATTTTCCTTTTTCTCTGCCTGGTGCTTTTCAATACATATTTTATTCACTGAGAAATTGTATTCTGAATGGGATGAAAAATGTCAATCTAAGAGACATGTCAGCAATCAATCCTCATCTCTGCTGAGACCTATACAAAGGACGTAGCCGATAGTTTGGTGGCAATTCAGACTGTGTCTGATTTTTTTTTCCACCTGCCAAGTCCTGCTGTACAGAACTATTCCAAGGTGAAGGCCTTGCCATCTTTGCAGGGAGGACAAGGGAAAAAGCACATTGCACCGACATGCAAAAACTGAGAACACAATTCAAGGCTCTGATGCCCTTTCCCAGTAAAGGTTTCTCTTCACAAAGCATTTGTGGTTCATGTTCAGATGAAGACTCCTGCTATACAATAAAGCATATTCATATATGTCTGGAACAGCATAAAACCTGTCTGGAAAACACTGTCTGTGTTTCTTATTTATCCAAATCACCACTACTTCAGAGTGAGATTTTCTCACTCTTCAAATGAACTTGCTATTATTTTCCAGGTCTGTTCACTTGCCCTGTCAGACAATCGCATGGTGAACCCTGCCTGCCTCCAATCTATTCTCCTTAAGCAATTGTTGACATCTCCACGTGCTAAAAAAACCATGTGAGGCGGGCTGAGAGGATCCTACCTCGGAAAACCTCACTGTCCTGTGTCTTAACTGCAAGCACCATTCCCCTCTTCACAGCGTTGCCTTTCTTCAGCTGACTTAACTGAGTATTTTCCTAGACTAATCTAATTAATTTTTCAAATAAGACTGAGAAATACTGTACAACTCAAACATCTTATGATTTATGCGCAGACTCCCACCAATTTGTGAAATTATACCCAGAAAATGAACCCAGTTTGTGCAGAGAGCTTCAGTGTCCCTGCTCTCAGTTCTCTAGGCTGGCTCTCCCCGAAGATGACAGTGTGGTCTCTGCCCTCGATGTGCTCTCTAGGCTGCGTGCTTTGTGACTGTGCACAACAAGCCCTGGATTAGGAGGTGACTGGCAGGTGTCTCCCATTGCTTTACATAAATTAAGTCCTCAACTCTTACTTTTTTTTTTTTCCCCCCAACTGAAAATCTTCAGCAAATTCAAGCTGACATTCATAAGCTGTTTGAGATGGAGTAAGTTGTTTATTTCAGCAAAATGCAATTTCCAAGTGCAATGAACAAAATTCACCCAGCTCCAGTGAAAATCATGCTGAATACTCAAACGTCGCTTTCCTGATTATTTGCAATATTAACCGGAGGGATAGTGCCAGGTTTTGCCACAAATTCCAATTTATGTAAAGTGCAAAAGGAGGACAGGATTAATATTACTGTCACCTTCCTGCAAGCCAAGCAAGCAGAAACGCCCATGGACATCAGGTTGCAAATAACTCATTAATACAAAGGAGTAAATGCCCGTACTATAAGGGAAAATGTGCCCCAGCACACCCGGCACACTACACTGCAAAAGTAACAGGTTGTTGAGCTCTCAGGAGAGAAATGTTCAAACAGCTCGTTAAAAGGAGCAGCACTTTATATACACATATTTTTTCTTAATTTGCACGAGAGCGTCTGCATTAAGTTGCAAGGTCCAGCGAGAACTGAAATCACCCACACTGGTGTGCAGCTGGACAACGGCTTCCTCCAGGCTTAGAATCACAAATCTGCACCTCCTGACACAATGTTTTCATACAAAATCAGTTAAAATTATGATTTACAGGGCAGGTCCATCTTCTGAAGTGATCTAAGGCCAGGTCTGTATTTCAGCACCCAGAAATGAGTCTGTCTCTGCTGGGATTCCCAACAAGCGTTTAAGTCGTATTTGAAAGCTGGAGGTATGCCCCACTATCTACACCACAGACATGTAAATAGCTTCATATGAACTGGAGGCTTGCTGTTTTCGTATAGTCCCACATGTCCAGTTTCCAAAGAGAATCCATCTGGACCTCCAGGCATCTAAACGCAAGCAGGATTTTCAAAGGATCAAAGCAGTTTAAATGCCTCAATCCATTTAAAAAAGTAGCCTGAATGCACATAATCTCACTTTATATACATTTCAAAATCCCACTAAGAACTTGTGCAAACATGGACCTAAACCAGTTCTGA